GCATTGGCTGTGGCCAATGGTGTACAGGGAGCCGAGCAGTTCCGTCACTCATCCGGCCCAGTGGTTTTGTCTAGAAACAAGGACGGCCGGCCTTGTCACCCAGAGCTGGGCCCGCCCACCCGTTAACCTTCCTCTTTCCTTGTGTCATCTGTTGGTTGGCCCAATGTTTTCCAGCTCCATCTATTGATCACCTACTTTATTTTTTATTCTTTGTAGGATGGAGGAGTGGGGTTGGGGGCGTTCCTATATGTATGTCAAGCTTGGGTTTGAACTCCTGGCTCAAGCATTATGTCGCGTCTCACCTCGACCTCCAAAGTGTTGGCATTACAGGCGTGAGCCACCGCTGCCAAGTCTTGTCACTAGTTTATGGAAGCTCTGTTGCTGTAGACAACGAGCTCCAATTTTCAGAGACCTTAGGAGGATGGAGATCTTTTTACTGATGCGGGCAAATGGTTCAGAAAGATTCACAGGGCTTGGCGCAGGTCGGCTTACACTGTCAATCTCAAGAACTTTGGGAGAGGCCAAGGCAGGGTGGATCACCTGAGGCGTTCGAGACCAGCTGGCCAACATGGTGAAACCCCGTTTCTACTAAAATTACAAAAAAAATTAGCCAGGTGTGCTGAGTGGTGCCTGTGCTCATGCAGAAGCTGGAGATGCGCCGGTACAATGAGACGCACGCCATCGCCAAGTGGCTACTAGAGAAGCGGGAGCTGGGAGGAGGCTTCGGGTCCACCCAGGTGACGGGGACCCCCGGGAGGTGAGGGCCAGAGTCGCTAGCCGAGATGCTGACGCGACTAGCCCAACGCGGGAGTGTGGGTGGCTGTCCGTGGTGCTGACACGCCGGCCGATGGTTTCTCGAGTGCTGTCTGTGGTGCTGATCCACGTTCCCCCACCTCCCCGTCCCATTCCAACACTCAGACCACGGTGGTGGCCCTTGAAGCTCTGACCCGCTTCCGCGAAGATGTCCCCTTCCAGGGCGTCCAGGATCTCCACGTCCAGGTCAGCGCCCCCAAGAAAGCCCTGAATGTGAATTGGCATATTGATCACAACAATGCCTACCAACAGCGATCAGCAAAGGTATGTCACTAAGGGGCAGACCAGAGTACACGCAGAGATAACATTGGAGATGAGGCAAAGCATCATGTCCCTGCTGATCTCCCACCTCAAGACACACTCCAAGATATCATAAGCGATGGAAATGTGGCTATACTGTCAATGTATTGATTCTTCTTTTCCATCAACATTTCCCTAGCATCTATTATGCATCAAAGACTTTCCTAGGCATTGAGGTTATTTTATGAAAGATCCATGGTCCCTGCTCTTATGGTATCTAGAAGATTCCATAAGATCTAGAAGAAAATGGGCCAGGTGACGTGACTCACGCCTATAATCCCAGCACTTTGGGAGGCCGAGGTGGGTGGATCACCTGAGGTCAGGAGTTCGAGACCAGCCTGGTCAATGTAGTGAAACCCCATCTCTACTAAAAATACAAAAATTACCTGGGCATGGTGGTGCGTGCCTGTAATCCCAGCTACTCAGGAGGCTGAGGCAGGAGAATCACTTGAACTCAGGAGGAGGAGGAAGTTGTAGTTACCTAGGATTGCACCTGGGTGGCAGAGTGAGACTCCATCTCAAAACAAAAATAAAAATAAATAAAAATAAATAAATAAATGAAAAGAAATGACACCCTGGGCAACATAGCAAGACTCTATCTCTACTAAAAAAGAAAAGAAGGAAAACAACTCATCTAAGGTCATGCATTGTTTAATGGATGTCCCTGGATAAATAGTTGTCAAGATGAAGAAAGCAGAGGGAGGGGAAGAGTGTTTCTTTTTGTTGTTGTTGTTGTTGTTGTTGTTGTTGTTGAGACAGAGTCTCACTCAGTCACCCAGGCTGGAGTGCAGTGGCATGATCTTGCCTCACTGAAACCTCCATCTCCTGTGTCAGCCTCCCCAGTAGCTGAGATTACAGGCATGCACCATTCAGCTAATTTTTGTAGTTTTAGTAGAAATGGAGTTTCACCATGGTGGCCACACTGGTCTCAAAATCCTAGCCTCATGTGACCCACCTGCCTCGGCCTCCCAAATTGCTGGGATTACAGGCATGAGCCACCACGCCCAGCTAAGGAAGAGTGTTTCTGACATAGGGAACAGCATAGAGTGGAGACCCGGAGCCACTCAGGCACAGGAATGGTCAGAAGGGAGAACAGCAAATAAAGCAGGCTATTAGGAGGCTTGAAGGCTGGCAGAGCTCAGCAGAGGGCTGGGAGGCCATGGCAAGAATTAGGACTTGATCCTATAGGCAATAAGATTTGATCTTAAAGGCAATGAGATTGGAGTGACTGGCTGTGATTTTTTTCTTTCTTTTTCTTTTTTTTTCCTTTTTTTTTTTTGTTATTTTTTGTTTTTTAGAGACAGGGTCCTACTCTGTTGCCCAGGCTGGAGTGCAGTGACACAAACATAGTTCATGGCAGACTCGAATTCCTGGGCTCGAGCAATCCTCCTGCTTTAGCCTCCTGAGTAGCTGGGACTAGACATGCACCAGCATGTCCGACTTAATTTTCAATTTTTTTTGTAGAGATGGGGTCTAGCTAAATTGCCCAGGTATGTTTTGAACTCCTGGGCTCAAGCAATCCTCCCCCTTTGGCTTCCCACATTGCTGGGATTACAGGCATGCCATTATGTTTGGTTTGGCTGTGAATTTTTACAATTTTATTCTGGCTGATGCAAGAAGGACTATAATGAGGAAAACAAGAGTAGCTGCAGATGAAGGTAGAGATTAGACTGGTGGTTGCCAGAGGATAGGAAGTGCACGAAGAAAGGGAGGGATGAAAAGAAGTTGATTAATGGGTATAAGCATATGGTTCGATAGAAGAAATAAGACCGAGTGTTTGATAGATTCGTAGGGTGACTATAGCTTACAATAATCTATTGCATATTTCAAAATAGCTGGAAGAAAAGAATTAGCGTAATTGTAGCATAAAGAAAAGACAAATATTTAAGGTGATGGTGATGGATATCTGAGGTACACTGATCTGATCTTTACATATTATATGAGTGCATTACATTATCACAGGTGCCTTGAAACTATGTACATCCATTATGCATCAATTTTTTTTCTTTTTGAGATGGAGTCTCACTCTGTTGCCCAGGCTGGAGTGCAGTGGCACAGTCTCAGTTCACTGCAGGCTCTGCTTCCTGGGGTCAAGTGATTCTCCTGCCTCAGCCAGGGATGGAGTGCCAAGTGGCATGATCCCGGCTCACTGCACTTCCTGCCTCCTGGGTTCTAAGTGATTCTCCTCCTCCAGCCTTCCGGAGTGTTGGAACTAACAGGCCTTGTACTGTCAGCGCCCAGCTAAAATTTTTGGATATTTTTAGTTAGAGATGGGAGTTATCACCATGTTGGCCAGGCTGGTCTTTGAACTCCCTGATCCTCAGATTATCATGTCCTGCCTCAAGCTCAGCTGTGTTCCTAATGTGGCATCCCTGGAAAAATCTGGCTTCTCCTTTGGAGCATTTCCAAAGTTATCTCTGTGTGCGGAAAAGCCTCCCCAATGAGCCTTCTCCCCCACCTGCACCTCTGCCACCTCTCTTTATTTTTCCTTTGTTCTTTTAAAAAAATTGATGCATAAAATGATGCTGGGTGCAGTGGCTCATGCCTGTAAATCCCAGCCTTTGGAAAGGGCCGAGGCAGGTGGATCCATCTGAGTCAGGAAGTTCGAGTCAGCCTGGCAAACAAATGGTGAAACCCGTCTCCTAACCTAATAAAATAGCAAAAAAAAATAGGACGGGCGCGGTGGCTCAAGCCTGTAATCCAGCACTTTGGGAAG